CATACTGATTGAAATTTAAAATTAATTAATTAAATTAAAAAGATAGTGACAAAAAGCTTGCCGGACAGCTATAGCATATTGTGTCGGAGATGTGTGGAACATTTATGGAAATTAAATAAACTTACATTATTGTTGCAATTTATAGTCAAACTAGCATTGCCCGCGGCTCCGCCCGCGTTCAGATTACCAAAAACCAAATTTTTGGGTTTTAGATATTAGTATACTCTTATAATGCAGTTTTTGTATTTTTTCTCAGAAATGAGATATTTTTCTGCGGTAAAAAGTATCCTATATGTTGATACCAAGTTTCATGAAAATCCCTCCAGCAGTTTTTCCAAAAAATATTTATGTACAGATTCGACTTAGTTACAATTTTATTATATGTATAGATAAAATATTTGTTAGAAGCATAATTGAATTTGAAAGGCTTATAGTACGTCATGACCTCTGCCATAAAGAAAGATATAGTTTTAAATAAAACTATTTTTTCGTTTTTTTTTAGCGAATTTATCGGAAGAGACTCCCGTGACAATGATTGCTGTAAAGCACTCGAAACTTCGGGACCCAATAATCAAAATAAAACCACGATATAATCCGAAAAGATAGTATTATTTAAAATATCAAATATTCGCGTAAATCTAAGAAAGTATTAAAGATATTATTCTAGATGACCGATTATATGCGAATATTATAATATAATTTCATTCAAATAAATTTAATTAGCATGTGTTATATATTGAATATATAAACAATTATAGCTTTGTTATTATATATATTACAATTGAAAAGTATTTTTAATTCATACTTCTTACGCCAACAATCTGAAATGAACGGAGAAGAGAAGACTTGAAAAATAAATGACCATCCTTAATCCATTTCTTCCATTCGATTCACATTTAGAGAAATTTATTTCTAAATTAGCTTTAAAGCTTGAAAATATATTGTCTGAAGCTTTTCAGTAATACAAAATAAATTGAAATCGCATCATCATTTTGTAATTTCTTACTGAAAATGTTAGTGTTATTGGCAGACGTCAGAGTGATGAACGACGTGACGTCCCAAGTCTAGATTAGGGAACTCACCCTTAGGCTGATTGATGGCAAACCTATTTGGACACGAGTAGATCAATATCAAGAATTTCTAAGGGCTTTTAATACGGCGGTCGCTTTTAAAATTATGAATAAATAATTTTTCATAAAAGAAACTATAAGAGAGACTAATAACAATTCTTATCATATCAAATACAAAATTAAGTTTTTAAATATATAATTACTTAGGTAAGGTTATAAAATGTCAAATCATAATAGTAGTTTTAGAGTTTAGATTAGAATAAAAAAATAATCACGCTGTAGATATTGATGAGTTAACAAATATAAATAAACAAAATGATTCAATTTAAACAAAATACACATTTATCTAGTATATGAATTGGTATATTAATATTTACTTTTTAACCGAGTTCAAAAAGGAGGAGGTTCTCAATTCGACTGTATTTTTTTTAAGTAGAACGGCTTCAAATTTTATTAAAAAAAATTAAATACAATTTTTTTGCCTAAACACTATTTTGTTCATTGATTGAACACTATGTTTATTTTACCCTTTAGAAATTAATCTCGTACAAATTCATAAAAAAATAGTTTTTTTTTTATATTCCATTCATAATTGGCAAAGATAGCCGATATATCATCTAATAGACGATAGATGAAAGAAGATGGCCCCTTTTTTGAAATGGGCCAAATATGTCCAGTCACCAATGAGGCATCATTAAGCATCATTTATTATTAGATTTAGCTGTGGTATGTTGTAAAATTCTTAATAATACTACGGTAATATTACATAATTACATTACCGTGATAATACTGTACCGGTAATCCTTCGCGCTTCCTTTTATAATAAATTTAGATTAGCAGTCTTACATCTTATTAAGGCAGTGGTAGCCCACTGGTAACAGCGCGCTTGGGAAACCGAGTGAAGCGAGTTCAAATCCCGGTCTCGCACCTTTGATATTTTCATGTGCGAATCATTTTCAATATGATTACCAGTTGTCTTACGGTGAAGGAAAACATCATGAGAAAACCTGCATGTTTGAGAGAGCCTAGCAAGTTTTCTAAAAACATGGGAAGTCTACCAACCTGCACTTTGCCAATGTGGTGGACTATGTGACCTGATCCCCATCATTTGAAAGACCAACACACTCAGTAGTCACATTATAGAGTAAAAAATTCATTTAAAATGATTTCGGGACCGTTGCTTGATCTGAAAGCTTAATTTCGAAGCCAAAATACAATAAATTTTAGATTTATTATAACAAAAAGTTAACATTTCCATGTTAAAGCTATTAAACATACTATAGGTTTCATTTTACGTCATAATGTAGTAAAATTACAAATCGGTAAATATTAATCGTATAATAAATAATTGTTTGGTATTTACACTTTCCCAATAGCTCACATTTTTTCTTATCTGATACCTAGTAATAATAAAGTTTTAGCCCAATGTAAAAGTAATAAAAATTATTATTAGTAAGAAATATATTTATGTAAACAAAAAAACAAACCAACCCGCACTTGGCCAGCGTGGTGGACTATGGCCTGACCTTGTATTGAAGGGAGGCCCGTACCCAGCTGTGGAACGTAAAAAAGGGCTGAATACAAACAAAAAATAGCTTCATTGAGTTTAAAATACAAGAGATTACAAACATAGAATTTTATACTTTGTAGTTTGTAGTGCCACCTAATAGAGACTTAATAGAGAATTTAACTAATCAATATTTAAAAAATATCCATTTAAACAGTTTCCAATGGGAGGCTAAACAAAAAACAACTCGTGTGGTAGCTGATTTTAACACCGGATCTCAAAAAGGACGCTCGTGTAAAGGCGTTGGCTATGTTGCGAATATTGTAGACGTGATGAAAATCTATTGTCGTCTACCCCCGTACTGAAGGCTGCAATTTTTCACAAATGCAATTTAAAATTTCTTTCTGTGTTTATTGTGAGTCGCTTTGAATCTTTAAACGACACTCGTACTATTGTCACTTGCGTATTTATGAGTGCCGCAAAAAGGTTTTCAAATGAATAACAGAATTTTGAATTTGTACTTAAAATTTTTACAATTTCAGAGAGCGATATTTGAATAGAGAAGTTTATTTAAACGTTTTTGTTACATGTTAAAGTCAATATTAAATTATTTAAAACGGCAAAAATGCATTATACATACAACCAAATAGCAGAAGAACCTTGTATTACTATTTTCTAATAATAATTTATTGGTACTATATTTTTAATTTATTATTTTTATCAAAATTATTTATTTCAACTTAATAATATCAATATTTTAAACTTTTTGTAATTTTCTAATATCCCCCCAGAAAAAAGAAGCATATACAAATTACTAATCACTCTGTGGCACATGAACTATTTCTAGCAGACTTAAAAAAGGTATTACTCCAATATCTTCTTATCATACGGTGTATGGAACGCAATATCTTCGTCAATTACTGAAAATCGATTTTCATAGTTTGAGATCAAGCTGTTATTTCTTAAAAAAAATCATGTGGTTAATAATTATGTTTCGGTGATTTTATTTTATTTAGATACATATGAAAAAAAGGCCATACAAACAAACAAGCTTTACGTACTTATACATATATAAATTACACCGACATTAACGTGGTTAAAACTTACGATATTTTAACATCATATTACATCGCTATACTGATGATATAATTTATTAATAAGATGCCTAGTCCCTTGACGTGATATGGGATAAATATTTCTCCATGAATGAGTTTGTAAATTTTTGCTTCATATTTTTTCCTCAATAAACAATCCTCATTACTTTCGTAGCAAATCAATTTCGAAATGGAAATATTATCAATGTTTTCATCATTATTAATTTATTTTGATTCATATGATATGTAAAGCTATCATATATTTTTTCAAATCGAGACTTAATCTTGATCTTTCGAGACTTGATCTTTAAAGTATATTTATAGTTATTTAATTACATGCGACTCACCCTTGCTCCGCTCGGGTTTGTTCCCAGGTACGTTTTAACGGTTAGTATATATTTCTCAGAGATGAGATATTTTCCCGCCGTAAATCAACCCAGATGACCAGCTATCATCATACCAAATATCATTAAAATCTGTCCAGTAGTTTTCTCGTTATGCTTTCCCAGAGAGTTAAACAGACAGACAAAAATACTAAAAACTATAGATTCGGCGTCTGTATAATCCGAGGCCGATAATAATGACAATTTCAATAAAATTTTCCAAAAACTATTTAATGTACAGATTTAACCCAGTTAGAATTTTATTATATGTATAAATAGATGCATAAATATAGAGTAGTTCATGTGTAAATTAATTGGACATTAATACCGACACGACAGTTATTTTAACTGTCGCAATACAAAACAATTTTTTTTATTCATAAATAATTCTAGACGCAGAATAGAATATTCATCATATTACTCGCTTACTTTACAGAGTTTTACTCCAAAAAAGTATTATCAGTGACCAAAACTTATAATTCTATTTATTATTTATGTAAGGGAAGCCTATAGTTACTTCCTACATACATCAAACATTAATATACAAAAACTCAAGATACACAATTATTAGCTTCTCAAAAAGAAAAAAAAAACTACAAAAAGAACCTCATAATACGAAATTATGGGCTTTTTTCGAATCTCTTTCATTCATTGCTTTTCGGATGACAAAATTAAAGCGCACGTTGTTTCGTTTAAAAAAGTACTTTATGAAGCATGCGTAAGTTTGAATTTGTGTTTCAACCATTAGAACTTCCGGTTCTTAAATTTTATTCTTTGGTTTGCCGTTTGACTTAACGTCACGTTAAGTTGACGCGAGTTTTAGAAGAGATATTTGTAACAAAATGTATATCTATATATGTTATGTGTTTTTATATTTTAATAACCTCGAATTAAGTATCCTGTAAAGGAAATAAAATATTTTTTTAACGAATTTATTTGCTTCCAGGCCTATCAGCGGGCGGCAGTGACACTACGGATCCCGATGCCATCTTTGCAGTGAACAACGGCACTTCCGCCACCGACACGATGGTACAGCCACACTTCGACAACACTACCAAAAGGGAATACACCGCCGCGGTTGGTCAACCAGCATACTTACACTGCAGAGTGAAAAATCTTGGAGACAGATCGGTAATAATTATGATTCTTATAATGTTTTTTTATTTATAGTCTCTTAGATTTACGCGAATTCTTGATATCTATACATATAATAAAATTGTAACTAAGTCGAATCTGTACATTAAATATTTTTTGGAAAATCTTATTGAAATAGACATTATTATCGATACAGAGTCCGAATCTATAATTTTGAGAATTTTTGTCTGTCTGTCTGTCTGTCTGTTACCGCATCACAGAAAAACTACCGGAGTGACTTCGATGAAATTTGGTATGGTGATAGCTGGTTATCCGGGTCAACATATAGGATACTTTTTACCGCGGCAAAATATCTCATTTCTGAGAAAAAATACAAAAACTGCAATGTAAGAGTATACTAATATGAAAAACCTAATAATTTGGTTTTTGGTCATCTGAACGCGGGCGAAGCCGCGGGCAATGCTAGTTTTAAATAAAACTGTCTTTTCGGAAAGACTACCGTGACAATGATTGCTATAAAGCATTAAAAAAGTCGGGGACCAAAAATCTAAATAAATTCGTGAAAAATCCGGAAAGATTTAAAATTATTTTATTTTTAAGACACGCAGCAATTCCGATCTGTATATGGTAATATAAACAAAAAACTTAGTGTTGACTTTCATAATATAAAAACATTTGTGCATAATTTCTTTTATCTATTTCTAAAAATAAATTTAACCGATTTAGCTGTACTTTGTCTATCATCCAGTAATATTTTTTTCATAGATTAATATATGTACGTAGCATCAATTTTTAACGCCATTTAGAGTGCTAGAGTTTAATTTGATTTGAGTAACTTAAAATATGTATATGACTTTGCATTCATTCAACAAATAAAAAAATATAGCTGTCTTTAATTTTAGACAATTTATTTACCTAAATATTATAAAACCATGAAAGGGATTAAAATCTATAAAAAAACTATAAATCTAGATTGTAACATATTTTCTCTCTAATAGTTGAAAGAAATATCATTTGTTCATGTATTTCACATAAGTATATATTTATAGTACAAAAAATTATCCCAAAACATAAACACAAAAAAATATTTAATTATAAATTTAAATTGAGTATAACAATTTAAAAAAAATATTATTATTTAGCGAGTTACCGTCGCTGCGCTCGGGTGCGTCCCTAACGTTTTTTTTGAGTGGAACCTTTTTTTCTATAATAAAATTATCCTAAGTTATTCATTATATCATCATCATCAGCTGCCAGTGAAAGTCCTATCAAAATCAGTGCAGCCGCAGATTAGTAGTAACGAACAGGTAGACAGACAGACGAACACTTAAAAAAAAGGATATAATAATTTAAGTACCATACCTATATAATTTCATATTTATTTAGTAAAAAGCTTTTTATGATATTATAAACAGACATCAGACACTTCAATTTTATTTATCTGTATAGATGACAATTAAGAAAAACCAAGTTAATTAAAATCTAAATTACATTAATTAAAATCTTTCGGTTAAGTCAGCAAACAAAAATTAAAATAATTTATTTCATAACACACTTTTGGCAGAAGACAACAGTCTTTAATAAGGTAATATTTGGCTACAGCAGATAAAGTCTACAGCTAACTAGCTTAGATAAACTTGATCTCTTGATATATAGTTAGTGAATATTTTATTTATGTTATATACTGAAAATATGATACAGATTATAAAATATTATAAAAAAATGCATAAACAAATATTATTCGAAAATTCAGGATCCCATAAACAATAAATAGTAGATAATTAATTATAATTAGATACGTATTTAACCATCGCGGTTTTGCATTTTCGAATATCTCGTTCCTCGTCAAAAGACAATAAAAGAAAATCAAAGTACATATTACATTCTCATGAACTTTGCGAAGTTATGCGGATAAATTTACGATGTTATTATTTTTTTCAAAGCCATAAGAGAGAAAATAAATGCCTTACGAACAACCATGATGGCAAAATAATCCAAATATCCAAGTGATTCGTGGAATGTTTTTATAATTCAATTTTCACTTTTTATTCAGTAACGGTGCGTCTTAAAAATTTCATTTCTTTTTATCTGTATAACGATTTTTATTATTTTTTAAGTAGACATTAGCTTTTGGACTACGGTTCAACTTGTAAAGTATAAAGTATACACGTGCGCTGCTCTCCTGAGGGTCATAGCAGAATGTTAGTTATAATTTTCCTCAGTATATAGGCTTTAAATATTTTTCTAATCATACCGGTAGTTCCAGAAATTAACGCGTTCAAACAAATAAAATTAAACTTCAGCTATTATAAAGGGTATAAGAGCGGGTCGATGTTGAAATGAAATAAAACAAGCTGTGAGCGAGGTATCAAAGAAATTATTTCTTTATTTAAAAGGTCCATGAATACCATTGACTATGGAATATGACATCTTTTAAATGACCACCGTGGCTTCTTACTGTAGACCGGATCTGAGAAGTCCAATTTTCAATGACTCTGCCGCATAAATCTGGCTGAATTCGAGCGATGGCCTGGGTTATGTTGACTTTGAGGCTAATTAGTATAAACTCATGATTTCAGAAAACCCCACAAGAAAACACCCGGCGGGATCAAATCGTATGATCTTGGTGTCCAATTCACGTCACCTCTGCAAGAGATAACCCTACTCTCAAACGCTCTAAAGCCCAGTTAGCAGAAACGTCGTTGTCTGTGGTCATTAACTGTAAGCTACTAGGTCACTTCGATCTTGAACGGGTGCAGGTCCAAATTCGCAAGATCCGCCAAGTTGAAGTCTGCGAAGGGCCGAATTCTAATGCACGGCTAAGAATTTACTGCCTCAGGTTCTTCTGCACACTTTCACGGACAGCAGCGATATTCTCGGCCGATATAGCGTTCCTTTGGCATACTGGTGTTGACTAACTGTTTACCGAACTAGTCGTTTCTAATTTGTCCACCAAACGTTGAAGAGTCAACAATGAGCGAAACGCGAGCAACGTTTTCATTAACGAGCACTTATTTTAATAATGTTTTTTTTTCATTTAGACCCGTTGCTCGATTCTGTAACTTACCATGATGATTTGGAATCAACAATGAAATAATAAACAATAGATTTCACAGATGTCACCAAAACAACATGGCCACCACAGCCGTTCAACATCGATCCGTCCTTATTGGAAAATCCTATATATCTACACTGTATAGATTATCGATGAAACTTTGCCAACGTTGATTGAAACTCACTTTGCGAATCACGACGAGGCTATACATTTCTTGACCCTAACTCAATTTAATTCAATTATCCTGAAATAGACTTAGATACAAACAGTGGGTTTGATCATATTACGGTTTTCTATGATAATATTATGCTATAATCAAATGAGGATAGCTTTATTTCACTACCTCAATTTTTTTTTAACCTTATATTGTGATTACCTACTATTATGATTGCGAGGCTTTGTATGTGTTGTAGTTCACGCTAAGACGGGTAAAGGATTTTGATGAAATTTAATATACAGAATATAAGCTGAACACTAGGGATGACCTAACAGATATTATATACTACCAACAACACTGCTAGTATTATATACAATACCCCCTCATTTTTTAATGAATTATTTTTATAACATTAATATTATAAATTAGAAAGCTTGTATGTGTGGCTGGAACAATTTAGATGAATATTTGTACACACATAGACTCTGAATGTTATATTTTTGCAAAAGGCGGCGTTGTCTGTATACAGGGTCATTTTTAATTTACTGAAAACCTTTTGGGAATACACTATTTACAACATAACAACAACATCTGTAAGAAAAAAAAACAAAAATATCTTAAATTTAACAAAAATAAAAATATTTTTATTGCACCTTCTAAATGGTAATAGTCCAGCATTAGCAAAAGAAAGTGCGTGTCCGTGGAGGGGGAGGGGTGGAGGGGTGTAGGAAGCCGCGGTTACTCATTTAAACATGGCCAGATGCTAGAACTTTGAAGTTTAGAAGGTGCAAAAAAATATTTTTATTTTTGTATGAAAATAAAAATTTAAGAAATATTATTTTTTCTTGTTACAGATGTTGTTGTTATGATGTAAATAGTATATTCCCAAAAGGTTTTCAGTAAATTAAAAATGACCCTGTATAGTAATTATTAAAAAAAGGCACCTAGAGACGCACTCGACTGTGATATAAAATTAACACTCCCATTTAATTTGTAAGAGTACTTTTTTCAATATTTAACTTAGGCTAATCTTTATATGAAATGTAAACAGATCCGTTTATGTTGAATGGTATTTAAAATTAGGCATAGTTTAAAAATGCCAGATTAGTTTGAATATGCTTGGTAATTTTTAAGGCTGATTTTTATGTTTTTTTTTATTTAAGTTATTAATTTAAATAATATTATAAAATAAATATATAGATATATATTTATGTCACTTATACTTATTTAAAGTGGTTTTATATGAGAGTATTGTCGAAAATATAAAAAGGAGTTAAATAAATATCGGTGTAATCTATATAAAAAATTTAAACTGTGTACTATCTCCAATATATACATATACTGTTACAACACAAATTTGTCACTTCAAGCCAATAGTAAAATAAACATAGGGAATGGAAATACCATCCGGTCAAAGCTTTCAATTTTGTTATAGTTTTTTGAGTAAACGAAAATAAATGTTAACGCTCAAAGCTGTATTGCATGAAGTTTTATCCGATGTTCTTTATTGTTAAAGAATTTTCTGATATAACCCATTCCTGCGAGATTGAATCTTTTTTGTTTACACAAAATGTGTCAAAAGTTGGCTCTATTGTATCTAGTGCCGAATACATATCAAATTTTCAATTTATTTTCTCTCTACAATGCGACTTTTTAACGCTGAATTCTAAAACATGACAATCTTCTTTTATTATACACAAAAGAAAATCTGATTAAATAGTACAGCTCGAACATTCTAAAAAAGTTTTATAGTTCGTTTTTGGGTATTACAAAAACCTTCTAATAAACAAAAATTTACAAGTAATTGTCTAAAGGTTTAAAAAA